GGGGCAGAGGGAGGCGGGGAACAACAGACTCTTCACTGAGCCTGAAGAGGGCTCTCGATCCCAGGACTCTGAGATCAGGGCCTGAGCTAAAGGCAGACACTTAACCAACTGAGCCACCCAGATGGCCCTGCAGGTTTTTCAGGGCAACAATGATAATGTGTTAACTCTTCAAGGGAGTCTGAGCACTTGACTTGGGGCATCCACGCTTTACCGCAGAGTGGTGAGCCAGGTGGTGGAAAGGTCACCCCATCCCATGCGCCAGCTCAATGGGGAGAATAGTTGAGGGGGTGAGAGAGGACCCTCTTGCTATCCCTGAAGTCAGGCCTGCCAGGAGGCTGCCTAGTCCATCTTGTGCAGGCAAAGGAAAGGGAAAGAGAGAGCAAGCAGTCATGAGAAGCCTGCCATTTTCATCACCCATGGAGATGTGGGCATCCCCTCTGTGCCGGATGCCAGGGAGCAACAGGAGACTCGAGGCCAGGTTGCAGGAGGCAGAAATGCATGAAGCTCAGTGGGCCGCCCAGGCTGTCAGTTCTGGGGTCCCACAGAGCAAGGGTGCCAGGGGGAACGGGGGCTGGGAGAGACCTGAACAGGTCTCCCTGTGACACCACCCTCCCTGTCCTCCTCCTAGTGGCCAGGGTGAAGGGTGGAGGCAGTCCCCACTCCCTGCTCACACAGAGTTGGGAACAGGCAGGGGTCATGATCAGTGATCTCCCCAGCAGATCAGCCTGGAAGCAAGAAAAGAGAAAATAACGAACTATTGCTATCAGCAGAGGCCTTCTGATAAAGGATTTAATCAAAGATGGGCCAAAAGGAGAAGCAGAGAGCCACAGGGGTCAGAAGCAAGACCTTCTGGGGAAAGACGTAGCTGAGAGCTCTCCTGGGGGCCTCCCTCTTTTCCTTAATGTGCTGGAAACTCAGGTCTTCTTGCCACACACCCTTGCCACCTCACCAGGTCTAGCTGCCAGAACAACTTTTCATAATCTGATAAATTTCCTTTATAACCTCTCTCTTCCAGAACCTTTTTTTTAAGTAAGCTTCACGCCCAATGTGGTGCTTGAACTCACAACTCTGAGATCAAGAGTAGTATGTTCTGCCAACTGAGCCAGCCAGGCAACCCCAGAACCTTCTTGCTACCCAGTGTCCTTCACCCACATTAGCCTTTCAGAGTGGTTCCAGAAAACACAAGGCATCCTTTCTCAGAGTCTGTTTATTAGGTAGGGTGTCCCAACAAGACCTTGACAGAGCCCTGGATGTTCCATTCACTCACTCACTCACTCACTCACTCACTCACTCACTCACTCACTCACAGGGAACAGGCCCTCAGCCTGCCTGTTTTGAACTCCTCTGCAGGAAGGTCACCTCCCAGACACCCCTCACTGGGGACAACCACAGGGCCTCCCTTCCAGAAACTTGCAGAGCCAAGATCTCTGCCCAAGGGCTGGGGGTGGGGGGGGCGGGGAGGGTTGGGGAGGGTGCTAAATTACCCAAATACCTTGGCTGTGGGCTTTGGTTCAGGTGGCTTAGTTGGCACCTGCGAAGGGTCTGGCTGTTTTGCCATTCCTGTGTGGGGAGAGCACATTGCAGCCCAGTTGGTGAGGGGAGGGGTTCGGGTTCCACCCTGGGTCCCATCTCCACAGTTGCGCGCAGATGACACAGTACCCTGGAGATGCTCAAAGCAGATGACCCTCACACATCCATGAGACGGACAGAAATATCTTTGTATACAATAGTTTATAAGTGAACAATTTATTTATTATTTTAAAGATTTTATTTTTAAGTCACCTTTCCGCCCAGCATGGGGCTCGAACTCACAACCCCAAGATCAAGAGTCACATGACTCTACTGACTGAGCCAGCCAGGCGCCCCTCTAAGTAAACAATTTAAAATTGCTTGTAGGTTAAACAGTAGCAGTTACACTCTGTTTAGTGCATACTGTGTGCCACCTCACACAGTCTCCTGAGCTCTTACAGCCGCGCCGTGAGGTAGGGTTTGCTACCTGAGAAGACCGGGGGCACAAGAAACATCTCGCTGGCAAGCCCCTAGCTAATGACAGAGCTCCTTCCGCAGCCCCCTCCCCGCTTCTACCAGAGGCTTCCCCGAGGCTGCCCAGCAAGGGGAGAACAAGGAGAGGGCTCTGTATTTGAAGGCCACAGGCCCGTCCGCTGACCTCAGCCCTCTGCTATTGCAGCCTGGCCCAGTCACTATGGGCCCTCTTCACGTGCTCCCTGGCCATCTCCCTGGTGTTTGCTGTCATCCCCTTATGTCGAGACGTGAAGGTGCTGGCCTCTGTCATGGCGCTGGCGGGCCTAGCCATGGGCTGCATCGACACCGTGGCCAACATGCAGCTGGTGAGGATCTACCAGAAGGACTCGGCCATCTTCCTCCAGGTGAGCCCACACGCGGGCATGGGTCTGGGTGGTGGGAGGCCACGGGGAGCTCCCTGGGTCCTGGCCTCCTCTCCCGGCCCCCTCCCCGGGGCTAGGTGTCTTTGTAAACTGAGAGTGCCCGTGATGGCAGGATGAGAGGGCTTGCTGTTTTCTGGCCTCCTTCCCCCTCTCTGTATTTCTCTTCTTGTCCAGCCCTTCCCTTTATCAAGCCCCAAGTTATCTCAGGCCAAGAAGGTAGTTGAGAGGAACTTCTCTCCTCACCTCTCCTGCTTCCCTATTGCTCCCCACTCTAGGGCCAGGCAGGGGCTCCCCAGATGGGACACAAAGTGGGGGACGGAGTAGGAAGCCTGAGCCATCCCCCCCCACGCACACCCCCATACCGCTTCTCTTCGCTCCCCAGGTTCTCCATTTCTTTGTGGGCTTCGGTGCTCTGCTGAGCCCCCTGATTGCCGACCCCTTCCTGTCTGAGGCCAACTGCTTGCCTGCCAATGGCACGGCCAACATCACCTCCGGCAGTCACCTCTTCCATGCGTCCAGGGTCCTGGGCCAGCACCACGCTGAGGCATGGCGGTGGTCCAACCAGTCGCTCTCCAGGTTGCCTCCACAGGATGGAACAGGGACCCGTGTGTCGTATGCCTTCTGGATCATGGCCCTGATCAATGTGAGTGTGACGAGGGCAGGGCTGGGTGGGGACAAGTGGACAGCCACACCTGCCAGTCCATACCAGCTCCCCGTGTGGAGGCTTCTGATTCGGAGCAATGTGCCGGCCTGAAGTGCGCCCTCGGGAAGGCAAGGGAATGGGAAAACTGAAAGCGAAGGGGGTCACAGGCGATCGACTCAAGGTCCTCGGTTGTGACAATCCATGACGGTGATCTGACGGGAGATACAGCCGCGAGCAGGTTTAGCACAATGGCATCAGGGTCCACTTTCAAGCCATCTGAGGCTCCACGGGAAACCAGCTCTTTTCCTCCAAAGCCAGATGAAGTAGATCCTGGGACAGAACCCTGCAGGACATGTCAGGCTCTTCCCTGGGGCCCTTAATCGCCGGTGGGATTCCCCTGTGCCCTGCTGTGAGGTGGGCTCCTGTGGAGGCCAGGGCATGGACAAGATAACCTCTGAGGGATCCTGCCCACACCAAGGCTGCCGTGGAGCAGAGTGGAGAGACCACTCACTGTGACTGTGAGGCCGCTCTGCACCCCAGCTGTCATCCTCCCCTGTCAGTCTGACTCTGTCTCTGGCTGAAAACCTCTGGTGCTCTGCAACCCAAGACAGGTGCCCCTTCCGACCCCCAGAAGCCCAGGCTGGGGCCAGAGGCACAGGTGGGGAGACATCCCTGCCCTTTCTCCAGCTTGGGAAGCACTGTCAGGAACACCAGCACGGCCTGGGCTGGGGATGTGGACCGAGTATTCCCCGGGACCATTTGCCTGGCTGTGGGGTGGAGACATCAACATCAGATGGTTTGTCATGACTTAGGGCCTCAGTCGGCTCCGGGCAGACTTGTCACCCCTCCAGAGGCAGGCAGGCTGGGTTCAGGCACCCAGCTGCTGTTGGGCCTCAAAGCGATGCGGTGCATATCACACTGAGAGGGGTCCACGGAGCAGCAGAGCGGGGGTGGGGGGTGGTATACTGTCCCTGGCTCAAGGGCCTGAGAAGTGTCTAGGAAGACACTGGCCAGGCTGGAACCCTGACTCCCTGCACAGACCCCCTTCCTGCTGCCCCGGAGTTAGTGCTCATTTTTCCTTTCTTCTCTAACTTTCCGTGTACCAGAGTCTTCCCTTGGGGCTCTCAAAACCCCATGCCCCTCTCTTGCTCTTTCCATTTGCTGCCCCTGCCGATCATTGCTTTGGAAACAACACAGCTTTGGGCCTGTGGCTGCCAAGGGGGGACCTGCGAGGGGCAGGAGCACCGTCCATACAATGTCGAAGCTGAGACGCCGGGACCGGGAAGCCGGAAGGTCCAGTTTAAGCGGAGGTCTGTTTTCTCTTGCCCCACGAGGTGCAGACTGGAGGCACTTTGTTTGCTGCAGGATGTCCGGATTTTTTATACTGGTTTGTTTCTGAAGATAAAACAGTCCACCACAGAAGAGAATGGGGCTGTGCATGCTTGTGGGTATGCATGTACACACACCCACACGCAAGCAACCACACACACACACACGCACAGCCCACCCAGCACTCTCTGACTTTGAAGGTGGAGCTTGCCTCCTCTGAATGGGCTTCTTACAAAGGCAGGGTGTGTTCTAACTGGGCCACAGCAGCCAATCCCCCTGGAAGTCCTTCCCACCACCCGCCTCCCTGGAAAGCCCCGCTTGCAGTGACCAGGCTCTTTACAGCTGTTTCCCCTTGGCCTTCACTCAGGCACTCTGCCGAGGCAGGCCTCTGCGTGAGGGTTTCCTGTTTCCCCCATCAGACTGGAGGGAGGGCTGGTCTCCCCCGTCAGACCCAGACTCCTGAGGGCCGAGGGGGGGTCGTCTCCTCCCACTTGGGCCTGCTGTGCGGTGCTGCCCAGGCGTGTCTGACCTGGACACATCTTCGAGTGGGGAGGGAGGCTCCCAAGGTGCCCGCAGGGAGGTGTCAGCACCGGGCCGATGTTTTGGGGTGGGGGACCCCCGGGAAAATGCCCCGGTGCGCCAGCCTGCCCGCAGGGATGGGGAGACCCCCCTCAGTGCCGCACGGGCCCTGCTGCCTCCCACGTCCACAGCGGCCTCGCCTGTCAGGCCGGAGGGGCCCGGGGGTATGTGGGGGAGCCTCCGCAGCTCCCCGGGCTTCCTCTCTTTCCTGAGTGAAAGGAACCGGGATGAAGTTGCGGCAGGAAGGGCAGAGGTCGGGCTTGATGAAGAGCTTCCTGGCAGCGAGGGTGGTTATATGCAGGCCGGGCACCTGAGGGAGGCAGCAGAGGCTTCTCTAGGCAACCGCAAAGGCAGGAGACATTTCTCATCGCTCTGGGGGCTCATGAAACCCGAGCGGCTTAGTGTAAATAGTAGGGCAGGGCACACTGGCTTGTGTGTGCATGTTGCTCGGAGCACGCATCTTTCAGTCAAAAGCAGCGCATGTCTCAGCTTTCCGGTTTGGACACAAGGCCTGAGGACAGGCTCTGTACCTCCTCGGGTATAACAGCACCCAGACAAGCCCTGAGTGGGCGTCAGCCCCGGACTGAGTCAGGGCGCCCCGAGTCCAGTCCAGCTCTGCCCCACATCAGCCTTGTGACCAGTCACCAACGGTCTCTGGGTCTGTAGCTTACAGACCAACGGTCTCCGGGTCTGTAGCTTACAGACCCATTGTAAGGTTCTCTACCTTACAGTGGGCTCTTCCCATTGTAACAGGTTATGACTAAGTGGTAACTTTGAGCCTCAGTCGCCCCATCTGGAAAATGGGGATAATCAACAAAAGCAAACTGTTGTAAAGTGTCACGTGATCTCGCAGCATGAAGGAGTGTGGGGGCACCTTCAGGATAAGGATCTTAGAAACAAGTTTATCTCTGGCACCTCTCCTGTACCAGAGGCCTGGTGTGAGTCCAAGTTTTGCATGTGACAAGGAGCTGTCTTTAGGAAAACGGATGTGGTTAAGGTTGGGCCGCAATTAAACCAGTCAGCCCTGGGTCAATACACCTGGCGGCATTAGCCAGGGACAGCCCTTAGGTGAACACCTTTGGAAAAGAGCTGCCTTCCATCAGGACTGGGCGGACACGCCGTTCGACCGTGTGGAGGTGTGTGCAGGGGGCCAGGCACGGGAAGGGGCCAGCCTGATGGCAACAGGGCTCTCCTGACCCTCTGCCCGCCCCGCAGCTCCCGGTGCCCATGGCCGTGCTGTTTCTGCTGTCCAAAGAGCGGCTGCTGGCCTGCTGTCCTCAGAGGAGACCCCTGCTCCTGTCTGCAGATGAGCTCGCCCTGGAGACACAACCTCCTGAGAAGGAAGATGCCTCCTCCCTGCCCCCAAAGTTTCAGCCACACCCAGGTGGGGGCCCTAATGAACTTTCCCGCCCACGGCCCCACACCGAGGCTTCCCTGGTGACCCCTTCCACTGGAGGGTGATCGTAGATCCCAGGCAATCGTGTCTGGAAAGAAGCCATGGGCACTGATGGTCTCGCGGGGCAAGGGCTGGAGCGACCTGGCTGAAAGCATGGGGAAGGCAGGCTTTTGGCTCCAGCCTCCGTTCTGCCTGAGCCAGCCTGTGTGACCTGGGCCAAGTTACTGGATCTCTCAGAGTCTTGCTTCCACCGGGACTGAGATGGACAGGGGCTGTCCCTAACAGGTGGTTGGAAGCTAATAGAAGGTGGGAGGCAGTACGTGGCCCCCATTCTGCCGGGCTCTCTACCTGCCAGCCGCTTCCCCTGGGCCTGCAGAGGGGAGGGAGCAGAAGCTTGAGACTCACCCCTGCCCTTGTGTCTCATCCAGGCCACGAGGACCTGTTCAGCTGCTGCCAGAGGAGGAACTTCAAAGGGGCCCCTTACTCGTTCTTCGCCATCCACATCACAGCGGCCCTGGTCCTGTTCATGACGGACGGGATGACGGTGAGCCTGCCCTCCTCCCCTGAGACTCCAGCTGGGAGTAGCAAGAGAAAGAGTGAGGCATCAAAGTTTTCTAGATACCTCACCTTAGTACAGCCGATTCAAACATTTACGCTAAATAAAAGTCCTGGGGGAGACTGCAGAGTTGTTCACAGTCCCTTGGAACTACGGTCGTCTGTCCCGGCCCATTGTCTTTCTTTTCCTTAACTCTGTGGCTAGCAGCTTCTCTGGTTTGTTACCAAGGGCGGGCTACCCACATTTTTTTTTTTAAAGGGGCAGAGCCCAGGGGCACCTGGCTGGCTCAGTTGGTGAAGCGTCGGCTTTCGGCTCAGGTCACGATCCTGGGGTCCTGGGTTCGAGCCCTCCGTCGGCCTCCCAGCTCAGTGGGGAACCTGCTTCTCCCTCTCCCTCTGGCCCTCCCCCTTCCCGCCGCTTGTGTACACACTCTCTCTCAAATAAATAAATCTTTTAAAAAAATAAATAAGTAAAGGGGCACAGGGCCCTATTCCTCCAGGTAGAGGTCCTGCCATGTAAACCCGAGGGCCCTCCGGTTCCTGGAACACATTCCAAACCCAGGCTTCTCAAGCCATGTTGTAAATAAACTACAGGCCGGCCCTGGGCCCAGCTCTGTATTCTACTAGTGAGCTCTGTTACACTAGTTAGTGTCTTTTCCCAGAAGTCTCTTAGGATTACGTCAGGATCCTTTTGAATGGCTGATTGAGTAATTGGTGGCCATATCAGGGACTCTCCAAAGAGAAGGCCCTAAGAAACAGATGACCCAGTGGAAAATACTCGTGCTAGCACTGGCTGACTTCCAACTCTCCGTGTGGCCTCAGGCAGCTCACTTCTCGCTGCCCCCCTCATCTGTCAAATGAGACACTCTTACGCCCCTTTTTTTCAGCTGTAGTACCCTTCCTTCGATAATAAACCTTCTGTGGAATCCTCATAAATAAGACACGTGGTAGAAGTCTGCTCTGGCTGAGGGATGGGGAGCAGTGCCTGTACGCCCAGACCTATCGGGACGCCCTGTGGAGACCCAGAGACACCCCTTCTCCCCCCAGCCTGCCACCGCATCCCTAGGCCTGCACCTCTGGGCAGGTGCAGTCTATAAGCTGTGCACCATGGGTCCTATCCTCAGCTCGGGCCTGCATGTGTCGTGTGATCCTGGCTCCAAGCCCCCCTTCTACTGAGCATCTCGGAGCAGGACCAGTCCTTCCTCGGCCCTCAGCACCCCTGCCCCCAACCTGGGTTTCCTTTTCTGAGGGTCCAGCTGCCCTGCAGGTGTGCTCAGCAGGGCCTGTCTTTCCACAGGGGGAGTATTCAGCCTTTGTGTACAGCTATGCAGTGGAGAAACCACTCTCTGTGGGGCACAAGGTGGCTGGTTACCTCCCCAGCCTCTTCTGGGGCTTCATCACCCTGGGTCGGCTCATCTCCATTCCCATCTCCTCCAAAGTGAAGCCAGCCACCATGGTTTTCATCAATGTGGTAAGTGGTCTCCTTTCTCTTCTTGGAAGCACAGGAGGACTATTCACTCCTGACCCTACCACTGCCCCAGGACATTTGCTCGGGACTGGACTCTGCCAACAGGGTGGGAACGTTGTAGAGGGAGGAGAGCAGAAGCAAGAGATGCTGGTGAGGAAGGGATGGAAATCTAGAAGGGGGAGCCCACCCTTTTCCTCTCTGGGCCTCTGATTTCGTACCCATAAAAGAAAGGGGCTGTAGGAGGTGGTTATTGCTGTGAGTGGAACAGATCCCAGTGCACAACCTGCCAAGAGTACAAGTGAAGCAGGTGCTGGCCTTGGTCCTCCTGTGTCACCTTGTCGCCCAGCTGGTCAGAGCCCCATGGCCGGCGGAGGCCAGGGATCCCCTGGCCTTCAGAATCACCATCTCAGGGCTGGAGCCTCAGAATCTGCATTTGGAAACTCTCCCAGATGACTCTTAGTAGCCAGACTTTCTTAATGTAGGATGGCACTCAGGGACTCAGCCTGCCTGGAAGGCCCAAGCAGCAGGGTCAGACCTTCGACCTGATGTGTGTCAATGTCACCATCTAAGACAAAGGGTCTAGATTACAGATTCCTGTAAGTTCATCTAGCCCAGCCTCCCTCCAGGGCTCCAATCACCTCTCTAACGTCTCCTCCAGGGAGTCCACAGTCTGCTTAAATACCTGCAGTGATGGGGAACTCGCTCCCTCTCCTGGTAGCCCAATCCACTGTCAAAAAGTACTTCCTTGGGTTGAGTTTCCTGCGGAAAGGGGGTCAGGAAATAATGCTGGGGCTACAGAGATCAGAGACCGTGAGCTCCAAGAAAGGACTTTATACTTGGCCTTGTGCTGGTCGATGACTTTTAGGAAAGAAATTTCGGTTCACTGTAGATGGGAGATAGTATGTGTAGAGGCCAAACTCAAGAGGGAGAGGCAGATGAGAAGTGGAGGTGTGACCATTGCAAATATTTCTCAGCGGGAGAGAGTTCTGTCTGACAGGAGCCTGGGTGTAGGCAGAGCAGAGAGGGAGGAAGTCTGTGGGGGGGGGGGCGGGGGTCCGGGCAGATCCCATTGTCAGAGAGGAAGGCCCCAGGATGGGAATGGGGATGGAGAGCGGTGGAGAAGGGAGTGTGAAGCTGTGAAGAGGGGGCCAAGGTGGTGCCCCAGGGAAGGAGCAGACTCCCCAAGTCCTGGGGTGGAGAAGAGTCAGGGTACGTGCGCTGCTGGTGGCCAGCCTCTGAGGGACCTAAGGCCAGCTGCTTAGACAGAGGACGGTGGGGTGGGGCTGTGTGTCTCGGGGGAGAAGAGCGCTGAAGCCCCCACATGATTTAGGCACTGATGATAAAAATTGTACCTGGACTGCTTGTTTTTAAAAAGAAACTCAGATTCCCGGGCCCAGCCCAGACTTCATGAACCAGAATGTCCAGGGGAGGGAACCTAGCAATCTATATATATAACCAACACCCCAGGGGGTTCATGTCATCAAGCAAGTCTGGGAAAACACTATCCTAGACACTGCCAAATACATTAGCGAAGCTTTTGGAAAATACAGATTCCCAGGCCCCACCCCCAGAGATTCTGACTCGGGGTGCAGAGAGGAGCCTTGGCGTCTGGATCGTTTTCAGGGCTTTTCAGCTGCCTTTGCGGGGCACCCCATCAGGATTACCGTTCAACAGCCCTGAGTGAGTTCCCTGGCGCTGCACCTGCCCAGTGACTGTCCGTAGTCACTGTGACTTCTTCTGAGAGGTCCTCTCATGTTTAAATTAACAGTCACCCTGCTCTCTGTTCTTCTGGGTCTCCACAACCACTTCCTGGTGAATGAATATGCAGTTCGTGCAGGGCCTGTGGGGAGCCGCAGGGGGAGTCTCTGCCTCGGAGCTCACAACCAGCTAGGGAAGAAGATGGGCAGGGGAGGGTCAAGATGAGGTTGGGTGGCAGGTGGGAAGCAGGCTGAGTGGGAGGAGGGCTGCTTGGTGGAGTTGCAGTTGGCCCTGGGCATGCTCAGTCTTCTGTCACCCAGGCTAAAAGAAGCGAGGTGTTTTTCAAACTCCCCCAAGTCTGGAGATTTTCAGGGTGACTCTTCATGGCTTGCCTGCAAATGTCTGGTTTGAAAATGCAGTGGCCAGGCGGCAGGAGGGGAGCAGAGCAGTATCTTCAAAGCCCTGGTCCTGCCCCAGGCATATCAGTTGGGAGCTGACTCTCAAGAAGGTTCCAGTGCCATGAGTGGCGGAGGTGGTCCGGGCAGAGGGCACCGCTGGTTGAAAGGCCCGCAGGGGGAGTTAACTGGGTAGGAGCACAGGGGGCAGGGTCAGCGACAGGGAGCAAAGAAGACAGGTTGGGGCAGCAGCCACGGGGGCTAGACCCTGCAAGGTCTTGTAAGTCAGGTTTGGGGTTTTATTCAAAGCAGGAGAAAGGCAGGCCTTCAGAAGGTGTTAAGCAGAGAATGGACATGATCTGCTTTGTATTTCAAAAGCACACTCCCCTGTCCTGGGGGAGAGTCGATCTAGGAGGGGCTGCAGGAAGACGAAGAGGAGCCCCCTCTTGCAGTCCAGGCACAAGAGGTAGATGAGGGTGGTCAGGATGGGTCTGGAGAAGTACAAGAGTCTACAGCATTTTTTGGGTGGAGTTGATAGGACTTGCCCTTGGCTTGAATATGGGAGGGGAGGGAATAAGGAATCAAGGACTACCTTAGTTACAGGGCCTGTCCGCTGGGTGGATGGGGATGCCATTCACTGATGGGCCGGGGAGTCATTTTGGGGGAGGAAAGGCCAAGTTCTGTTTGGACCACCGTGTCGGTTAGCCAGTCACCTATCAAAGGGGCAGTATTACATGCAAGTCTGGAGCTCCGGACACAGGTCGTGGCTGGAGGGATGGATTTAAGAGGCTGGGCATAGAGATATTTGAAAGCATGGCGCTGGACCAACAGGGAATGCAGACGAAGAAGAGCCAGGAGGGGCTGGGGCCATGCCAACATTTGAAGATTTAGCAGAGGAGGAAGAAAGAGCAGTGAGGCTATGGGGCCATTTTCTTTGCCAAAGAAATACATTACATTTGGAAGCTTAAATGTGTCTACTGCTTTCGCATTTTTACTGCATGAGAGAAGTCTTTCACTTTGCTTCTCCATTGGGAAGAGCGTGTGTCCCCTTCAGCCGCCATTTGCCGTGGCCCCCCTCTAGGGCAGCAACTCTTTGCCGACAAGGCCTCTGAGTCTCAGTCTGAGACGGAGAGATTTCGCAGCAGAGATTGAGGGGCTGGTAAAGAAAGGTGAAGGGTAGGGAGCTCATGGGTTGCAATCCCTGGCTTCGTTCCTCCAGCTGGAGCAGGTCCCTGGGATCTGCTGGGGAGGGTGACTGTCCCTTCCCTCCTCCCTCCGCGTGGGCTCCGTTCATCTGTCAATTGGCCAGGTGCGGGTGGGGCTGGATGCGGTTTCTTTCTTTCTTTCTTTCTTTCTTTCTTTCTTTTTTTAAGATTTTATTTATTTATTTGACAGAGACACAGTGAGAGAGGGAACACAAGCAGGGGGAGTGGGAGAGGGAGAAGCAGGCTTCCTGTGGAGCAGGGAGACCAATGCAGGGCTCGATCCCAGGACCCTGAGATCATGACCTGAGCTGAAGGCAGATGCTTAACGACTGAGCCACCCAGGCGCTCCTGGATGTGGTTTCTTTCACACCTTCTAGCTCTCTGCTCTAGATTTTTATCTTTTTCTTTTTAGAAACAGGTACTCACCCAGGAGATTTTTACCTGAAACCCCTGGTTTTCTGTGGAAGATCCTTATGTCTGCAGACATTAAGGAAAGCTCAAAACACACAAACACTAGGACTGATCGTTGTCTAAAGAGTCAAAGTTTAAGAGCCCCTGCATTGCTATCATTTCTCCACCACTCTCCAGGGTAGCTTTGGTAACCCATTTTGCAGACTCGGGGGCTCGAATCAGAGAGATCAAGGACTTCAAAGCCCCAGACTTGGTACTTACACCTGGGTCTTTTGCCTCCAGACCCCAGCTGCCTGAGTTTCTTCCCAGCGGCGTTTTGCATAAAAATTATTCAATGCTGACATAAAAACATTTTTAAGGAATTTAGGAAAAGCGTGATTTAACAAAAATATGCCCATGTGACAGAGACCCTTCCTGAACTAGAAAGATCTCTGACCCCTGAGCCCATCCTGGGGGCCTCTAACCACAGGTTGGCATCTGCTCACAGGTTGGAGTCTGAGCTGAAGCTGGGAGGTGCCAGACTGCCCCAGCCACCGACCCTCTCCCTGGGAAGTCCGCCTGCATCCCCAGAGGGTGGGGACCCCGCCACCCACCGCCACCACCACCCCCCAGCCCTGGAGGCCTCTCCTGCTACCCTGGACTTCCTCTGCCAACTCATGGCTTTTAGGGCAAGAAAAGCAGATCGTCTTCATGAGGAGTGGAGGGCAGAGAGCTGATGGCTTGGCTGGGATTCCCTGAGCTCATAGACAAGACCTTGGGAACAGGCAGCACTGCCTGGCCAAGCGCTTCTTAAGTGTGGACGGAAGGCCATCTGCCTGGCAGTCTGGGCGGCTCCTGCCCACCCCCGCCCGCAGTCTTCCATTCCCGGGGCTTCCTCCGCGGAGACCAGGCTGGGGAAGATGCAGTCCCCACATAGTCCACAGGGAGGCGTCCTGGTCACACAGCGCCGTTCTGGGGTCAGAGTGGACCTTTCCAAGTCAGGAGCCTGAGGCCCAGCTTTTCCCAATGCTAATAGCCTCCATCTCTGCTGTTAAAGGTCGGCGTGGTGATGACGTTCCTGGTACTTCTCGTTTTCTCCTACAACGTCGCCTTCCTGTTCGTGGGGACAGCCAGCCTGGGCCTGTTCCTCAGCAGCACCTTCCCCAGCATGCTAGCCTACACGGAGGACATTCTGCAGTACAAAGGTGGGTGTGCAGGGGCACAGAGCCATGAGCGTCCCCCCTGGCTGGGTGCCACGCCCTTCCCCCCCTCCCCCGCCCCTGCCCCGGTCTTCCTGTGGTATATTCCAGCTCCGTCACTGCCCTGCCACCTTCCAGAAATGCACGCTCCCCTCCTGACTCTGCTGGGAACCGCTTCACAGGTGGGCCTCTTCTGACCCACGTGGCTTTCCCCATTCAGCTTTATACCTGTGTCACGTGATTGCAGGCCCCTGAGAAGCAGTAAGCTTCTCTTTCCTGTTTTCTTCTCCCGTGGTAACGTCCCCTGACCCAGCGCTGGCATTTGGTGTATCACGCTGTGCTGGAAATTCCAAGTCCAAAGACCAGCAAAGTGGCACAGGAAAGGGATGGCCTAGGAAAGGGGTTGATTCCTTATCAGTAATAGTACCTCCTTGCTTCGCTGCGCCTGTGGATGTTTTTGGAAGCCTAGAGGAATAGAACAGCGGCTCCACACATGATTTGGGGTTGTGACGATGGGGTTCTTTGATGTCAGAAACCTCAAATTCTCTCCACTAATCTCCCTCCCTTTCTATAGCAAAGATCCTTTTTTAAAATGAGTTAATTAAAAATAATTACGTTTTGAACATTTAACATTACCCTTAGAAGTCACTAGAGTGCCCTAGGGTGTCAGAAAACCAGCGATGAAGAGGAGTGATTTCTTTCGGGGAGGAGTGGGGGAAATGGGTGTAGGAGGCGCGGGGGTGGCCCAAGCCATTAGAGCTAAAACCACAGTAACAAGAGGCGGGAGGCCTGGATCCTTGAAATCTAAGGATGATCTCCAAACCCCAAGTGAGTAAGTGAAGCAGTGAAATAACGTTGGCGTCCCATGTCACACGGAAGATCCCAGAGTTCTAAGTGGTCAACCGGTATTACAGTATAGGAGCTCCTGGCTGGCTCCGCCCGTAGAACGTGCAACTCCTGACCTCGGGGTTGTGAGTCCCAGCCCCGCCTTGGGCGTAGAGCCTACTTTAAAAAGAAATTAATGAATGAACTAAGCCAAATGTTAGAGTGTAATAACAATAATAATAATAATTGGTATTGGTTGCTTCTGCCTGCAAATGATCCCTCAAATCCATCCTCCTCTCTCTCGCCATCCCTGCCTTAGTTCAGGCCTTTCCCATCACTTGCCTGCTTGGAATACTTCAAGGTGCCCAGCTCTTCCCAGTTCCTGATCACCTCTACCCCTGCTTTGGCAGGTCTTGGCCTGTCCCCTCCGCATTTGCCTCCCTCCGCGGTTCTCAATGCTGCTCCCACATTACAGTCGCCCGGGGCGCTTTTAACAAACCACAAGGCCTGGGCTTGGTTTGCACGCATCCAGTGGAACGGGACCGGGGCCACTGGGGGCTCTGCAGTGCAGCCAGGGTGGGGCCACTTGGGAGGCCGTCCTCCACACTGCTGCAGAGGGGGCCGCGTGAGACACAGAGCCGGTCACAGCCTTCGTGACTTCCTGTGGGGCTCTCTTCCTTTCTTGCACCTCCTCTCACCACACTGCGACTCAGGGCCTGCTAGCCATGGTGAATGACCCGCTATTCTCTCCCTGGAGTGTCCACTCTACTACGCCCCTCCCTCTCCACCCCTTCTGGAAGTTTCTCTGAAGCCCCTGGAAAGCTGTACCCATCCCCTTTGTACCTGCCTCAAGGCTTCTGTACCTATGTTATCTGTGTCCTCTCCTTGACGTGCTCCATTGAGGGCACCAGAAAGTCAGTCCTGCCTGCACACTTTCGGGCTTTGTGACCTTGTACAATTCCCTTTTCTTCCCCTTTCTGAGTCTCGGTTTTCTCATCTACAAAATGGGGATGCGCACACCTACCTGTAGCATTGTTTGTGCATTGGAGGAAATGTAGAACACTTGACTTTAGCCTCACAGGTGCTCAATCTATATGTTAACTCTAGTCATCAGAATACTCTCGGTGTTCAGCTCAGTACCCGACGCACAGAAAGTAGTGGAGGGTTTTTGAATGAATGAGTGGAATAGACATGGGTGCTACTGGAATTCAGAGAAGGGAGTGACCAATGTTGAATCCAACACGTAGCTTCACGGAGTTGATGGGATAGGAGCTGGCCCAGGTTTTGGAAAGGCAGAAGGAAAAAGGAAAGGCATTCCAGGGAAGGGTGGGGCGGTGGCTGTGAACAATGTGACAGCAAAGGCAGAGAGGGATAGAAATGTAGCCAAAAAGAACATCTTGAAGTCCGTAGTCGGCAATGATGATCTCTGCTTTTTTTTTTTTTTTAAGATTTTATTTAGGGCGCCTGGGTGGCTCAGTCGGTTGAGCGACTGCCTTCGGCTCAGGTCATGATCCTGGAGTCCTGGGATCGAGTCCCGCATCGGGCTCCCTGCTCAGCAGAGAGTCTGCTTCTCCCTCTGACCCTCCCTCCTCTCATGCTCTCTCTATCTCATTCTCTCTCAAATAAATAAATAAAAAATCTTTAAAAAAAAATAAGATTTTATTTATATATTTGACAGAGACACAGCAAGAGAGGGAACACAAGGGCGCCTGGGTGGCTCAGTCGTTAAGCGTCTGCCTTCGGCTCAGGTCATGATCCCAGGGTCCTGGGATCGAGTCCCACATCGGGCTCCCTGCTCCGCGAGAGGCCTGCTTCTCCCTCTCCCACTCCCCCTGCTTGTGTTCCTGCTCTCGCTGTCTCTCTCTGTCAAATAAATAAATAAAATCTTTAAAAAAAAAAAAAAAAAGAGAGGGAACACAAGCAGGGCGAGTGGGAGAGGGAGAAGCAGGCTTCCCACCAAGCAGGGAGCCTGATGCAGGGCTCGATCCCAGGACCCTGGGATCATGACCTGAGCCGAAGGCAGACGCTTAGCTACTGAGCTACCCAGGCGCCCCTGATCTCTGCTTTATTCAAAAAACACTAAGCACCTACCATATGTTGGCCACTGAGCTAAAATTCAAGGCCCAGTCCTGTCTCGTGGGCGTGTAGCCCCGCGGAGAAGGCTGCCCTGCAGACAGAAGTGGGGGACCTGGAGAAAGGCGGAGGGGCCTACGGAAACAGGCGAAGAGCAACTAATGCAGGTTTGGAGCCTGGGGGCGATTACTGGAGGAGGTCTAAAGGAGGAACTTAGAAGATGAACAGGAGTGTGGCAGAGGCCGAGGACGGGGGAGGAACGCTCAGGAGGCGGTGAACACAGGCGTCAGAACCTGGCTTGAGCCAGAGTGTGCAGGGGCAGGAAGCAGGGTGCTTTCTCCTGGCTGGAGGGCATGGAGGGTAGATTGTGAGCAGGGGTGAGAGGCGTCTGAGCTCTCTGCGGGGAAGGGTTATAAAGGGCCCTGCAAACCCCAGAAAAGCCTGGGGATTTTATCCTGAAGGCAGCATTGAAGGGGTGAGGCAGACAGCTGGTGGGGTTTCAAGGGTTCACTGTGCGCCTGCACGAGGCTAAGCACTTCCCTGTACTGCATCGGACTTCCCACGGGGCAACCCTGTGGAGAAGGTGTCCGTGTCCATTTTACAGAAGGAAACCGAGGCCTAGGGAAGGGGGAGAAGGGGCCTAAGGACACACGGCCAGTAGCTGACACTGCTGGGCCCGGGACCCGAGTCTGACTCGGAAGCGTGGACTCGGAAGATCTGTGCCACGTTGCCGGAGTGAGCAGAGGTGCGGCGGGGCAGTGAGGCGCCGGGCCAGTCCCGAACCAGGCCAGGAAAGCTTTCTAGAAAGGCAGGTGGCAGTCAGATTGGGAAGGACCCTTCCTAATGCCAGGCTGAGTAACTTGAAATCCACTCTGAAGACAACCCTGAGTACCTGAAGGTTCTAGAACAGTGCAAACATAGTGACAGCAGAACCTAAACATTCCCAAAGCAAAGTTAAGGACTAGAGCCTGAGAAATCTAAGGAATTCGAAGTAGTCCTCTTAGGCCATCATACCTTTTTCCAGTCTTCCCAGAAATAACTGGGGTGATACCAGCTGACTTCTGTCTCCTTAACTTGCATCTACTAACCCAAATCCTTCTCTTTGGGTTAGGCTGTGCGACCACGGTGCTGGTGACAGGGGCAGGAATTGGCGAGATGGTCCTCCAGATGCTGGTTGGTTCGGTATGTGGGGAAACTCTAGGGGAAGGGGCCGGCATTTGGGGAGCACCCCTCAGAGCAGGGGGGAAGATACAGCCAGCCACCTTCTGGACCCACACTCTCCCTTCCCTGAGGGTCCCGCCCAGGAGCAGGGCCCCCTTGGTCTGTTACCTCTTTCTTCTGCTTCTGAGTCAGCTTTGAAAGCTGAGCTTCTGAATGTGGGACTTGGAGATGTGAAGGGATGTATGGTACAGTCCAACGCAAACACAAGGCCTGTCTGGGAGCGGGGCCAGCAGGGCCCCGTGGGAATGTCCATTAGCTCCCAGAGCCTGGGATGGGATTGAGCGGAGTCCGGAGTTCATTTCCCACCCCTTCTCAACCCCCCACCCCCACCCCGCCTCTCCTAGCTTTTGGCCACCCTCCACGGGGCCCAGCCGTCCTGCCCAAGTCCTGCCCCGATCAAGGGCCAGCCCTCCCACTTCTCTTCAGATAGACCCATGTCTCATCTGTTCACCAGGAAAAAAAAAAATACATTTGCTTTTTATTGACTCTAAGGCATATATTGTCAATCCCCTTTTTACAAAGGGGGATATTAAAAGTCAGATAAATTAGCAACTTGCCCTCAGTCAGTCCTACTTCTAATAAGTGACAGGACATTCAAACCTAGGTCTCTCAATCTCCGGCATGCCCCTAATCACAACCCTCCTTCCCTCTTTTGGTGCCCTGCCCGGAGGGGGAAGGTCTGCATCGAAATGACGTGATGTCTGGGGTTTGCTTCTGTGTGATCTAGTGCAGGGAAGGAGTGGGGGGCAGGGGCACAGAGGAAGTTGGTGCTAATTGTTAAAGTCAGGTGATGGGTCCATGGGGGTTCCATAAGCCACCTTGGCCTATACTTTCATTTTCCATGATAAAAGGATATATATAAAATCCTTCGCAAAGTTCTGATTAGGCCTTGTGGGTATAGAAACAGTATGCTCAGAGTTTTGAGGAAGATATGGAGATTTTCAGAAGGTTCCAGACAAGAGCTAGCAGGGACTGCTGGGGTCATGGGTTCCAACCCCCTGCCTCAGAGCAGGAGTTCTGCCTCCTCCAGAAACATAACCTCGAAGCGAGGCCGGGACGGCCCTGCTACCCATGATCCTGCCTATCGGTGTGACGGGCCGCAACCCAACTGAGAAACCTGCTTCCTGCAACACACGCCTTCATGTGAGGTTTTGATGGCCTGTGTCTGTTTTCCCCTTTGGCAGATATTCCAGGCTCAGGGCAGCTATAGTTTCCTGGTCTGTGGCGTGATCTTTGGTTGCTTGGCTTTCACCTTCTATATCTTGCTCCTGTTTTTCCACAGGATGCACCCTGGACTCTCATCAGGTAAGGAAAGAATCCGTGTCTACACAAGAGGAGGAAAACAGAGCTGGGGTGGGGGGCGGAGATACTATAGATCTTAGCACGCCACAAATGCTATTCTGTTCCAAGTATAATGCAAGGAAATGTTTATTTTTCTACAGCTTCCTTTCCCCCTCTTCCTGCTTTGCCATGCGATTGTCTGTGCTGGACTCTTAGGGCAGGAGGGAATGGGATAGGCTGACTCATGGTTTCTCCATTAGGAGAGGGGCATGGATTGTGAACTTGGCTTCCTGCGTCCCACCATGCCATGGGACCACGGGCCAAGAATCTCTTTCCAGCCCATGTGGGGCCCTGAAAGACAGAGTCTGCCTCCTTGGCTGGAACGCCGCCCGGAAGCCTAATTGGCCATCTCTTTGCAGTTTAGGATTTTGACTCTAGTCCAGATTTCTTTTTCAAAAAGAGGTCCTTCAGGCCAAGTGGCAAAGGAAAGCTCCTTCAGGGCAGAGATGCCTCCTAAGAATAGTCTCATTCCTGGAGACCCCAGGCAGGGGGAGTCCCAAAGCTATTTTCATACTCCTGAGCCTCCCTGCCTCCCTTTCTGCCCAGAGATCTCAAAGTCCCAGCAAGCGGATCAGCTGTGCATGGAGCCAGTTCTTAAGAGCAGGTGCGCAGGCAGAGCCCTCATCTTGTCCATAAAAGCAAAAAAAAAAAAAAAAAATCACCAAAAAAGTGGAGGGAATGGGTATCTGCAGTCCTCTCTTTCTCAGGTGGCCACTCAGTTTAAAGACCCAGAAGAACAATGGCCCCCCACCCAAGTCTGCACTGACTATAGCCTTGCTCCCCAAGGTGGTAGGTACCTAACGTAGCACTCAGCACGGAGCCTTCATTTAGGTTTCAGAAATGTTTGCTGAATATGCAATGAGTAACACCTACTGAGTTCCCTATTCCTGAGAGACAAAAAGAAACCTCTATTCCCCAAGCCCTAGGCACTAGTCTCAACAAACTCCCTCCACCAATGGTTTGCCAGAACCAGTAAGTCTGACTTTCGACTTGGCTCCCTGCAGGGCCATAAAATGGCAGAGAAACAAAAGCCTGGTAAACTCTCAGAAGGAATAATTGCTGCAGGTCAGAGCTGCTAAAACACGCTACCTGTTTTTTCTTTCGTAGTTCCTACCCAGGACAAAGCCCTAGGAATGGAAAGCTCAGAGTGCTACCAGAGGTAAAGCTGGGTGAAGGGGGCCGGCGAAGACCGCCAGGCTCTTGGGCACAGACCCAGGTGTTCGAGACAATCGGGGGAGGCAGTGGAGGCCCATCTCTCCACGCCTTGGCTCGGATCTTCTCCGCTAATCCTTGGTTGGGTAGATGAGATTAAATTGACTTCTGGGAACCTGGATCCTCCCGAGGCAAATCATTAGAAGTTTACTGGATGGATATTCAAGTTCCCTTCCTCTTCCCTGGTTTGGATCTTTGGTCAGAGCTGTCCAGGACACCCAGAAGGGAAGGAAGAAGACAGCCATACGCTTCACTCCCTTGGCCACCTCTTGCATGGACCACACCCTGCCTGGGTTTGAAGATCACTTTTAGTTGAAGTTTGGCAAGAATAAGTTGAAATTGTAAAGTTCAATGATCATGGCTAGATGTAGATATATTTTAAATTGGTCAGAAACAAACCCCAAGTTATTCCCTGGCATGCTCAAAGGATGTATGTGCTTTTTACTTTTTGAGAGTCCAAAGTCCCTCAAATTCCAGTTGCTGCTATCAGTAGTTCATTTAACATCTAAAACATGAAAAGGAAAAGTTGAATCTTGCTATCTTTGGGACACTAATTCAGTGGTATGCTGGGCTAGCTCAGACTCGCTTATAAAAGCCGATGGTTAAAATTTCATTTCGAGAGCTGGTTGTTAAACACAGCCATTATTCAAAATGGAATTATAGAAACTTACAATCAATTACATTAAAAACAAAGATCATAACCACTCAAAACTCATCACTTCCTTGAGGTTTTTTATGTGTATTGTATCTGTATAGTGGAAAGGTGTGCTTCTGAGCATCTCTTTCCAACAGCACTTTCCCCAGTAATGTGTTTGGTGGCTGGAGATCAGCCACCTGGGAGCATTCACCCGACAGAAACCGGCAAAGGCTATCCTCCTGGCTTTTCTTCTCCCCCCGCCCCCCCCCCCACAGAGCCCACTGTTAAACATCCACCTGTATACCACTGCTGATAGCCAATGCTAACTGGCCAGAAGTTTCTGGGAGAATGGGATGAAGATTCTGTTTTTCTTGACTGACATTGACTGCGCTTGTAAAAGGTGTAGAAACAGCACTAAGAATTTCTCCAAAATACCTATTTAAACTTTCCATCTTTTATAGAGGAAACAAGCTCTTTATACCATGTCAAGTTGCTTCCTTTAACAAAAAGCTGGGACTGCCGAGTGATCCAAACGGTGCAGCATACTGAGGAGGAGGCGCTCCTGCCTACAGGGAATCCCCTAGTAACGCAGACAGAATCCCCAGCCGGCCACTTGGAAAGGGTTAAGGGCACTGAGGCGTCCGTAAGTAGTGAAATGGCTATTACCGTGAGCGTACATTCGTTTACTTGCAGATTCTCTGTGTAGGTACGAATGTACAGGTGTGAACAGGGAGAGTGGGTCCAGGTTCTCAGCAGCGGGTGTAAGCGGTGTGCCCCACACGGACAGGGGTCTCCCACATCTGAGCATTGGTTCCGTCTGCCGGCACCCTGTGTGCTGATGGGACCCCAGCGGGAGCGAGCCTGGTGGAAGTGCTGGCCTCCCCCTCTAGCTGGTGTGTGGCCCTGGGCAGAGAGATCATGGATGCTCTTCTGGCCTGGCTTTTTTTTTTTTTTAAATATAAGTGACATTTCTTTTAAAAGCACGTACCCTACCTCAAAGGACTTCTGAAAGAATGAAGTGACTTTGTTTGAAGCAACGATTATATGCCTGACAGAAAAACAGCTTAATCAATGTTAGCAATTTTTATTTTTAAAACCTCCTCATTAGCAGCTTCAAAATTGTTCATATGTTTGGTACATATTTATTGTAAGCCAAACGGATCCAAATTCTTTTTGAAAGCTGATGGTCTTAGGGGTGTCGTTTTAACTCGATCTGTAAATACTCACAAGTATTTGATGGCTGTCAGACTTAAATGTGCAATCTCACTGCTGGAGGGAGTGACTGACCTGGACAAAAAAGAAAGCAGTTGTATTTTTCTTGTGGTTTAAAAAAAAAAAACAAAAAACCTTCCTTTTTATACAAATTTAGAAAGAAGAATCATTGGCTTTATCTAAGGTGTCATGATTAATTTAAGAATATAGAAAATAAGACTGAAACGAATCTAAGTGTATCTTTCCTGAAATAAAATATTTTAAATTTAATAAGCGTGTTATCCATTATGGACAACGGATTCTTTTATATGAAGCTCAGAAACAAATGACCAAATATTTCCCAAAGAGTGGTCTCTCTCAGGGCGCCTGGGTGGCTCAGTCGGTTAAGCGTCTGCCTTTGGCTCAGGTCATGATCCCAGGGTCCTGGGATCGAGCCCCGCATCGGGCTCCCTGCTCCGCGGGAAGCCTGCTTCTCCCTCTCCCACTCCCCCTGCTTGTGTTCCTGCTCTCGCATTCTGTCAAATAAATAAAATCTTTAAAAAAAAAAAAAAAGCGGTCTCTCTCAAGCTATAGGTTCACATGGCTGATGTTTTAGAAGAAACAAAACTCTCAAGACTGAGAACACTGTTCCCTCTTAAACGTAATCAGAATAAGGGAAGGCTGATGGGTTTTTATACCACACTTCAAAATCAGTTACAGAGCAAGTAGGGCTTTTTACCTGATCCTCCTTCTTTTAAGAGTTTTTACATTTCAGAGTGCGGCATGATCATCCTGTTTCCAGATGTCCCTCTGCTACTTGGAGGCAGGAATCTTAATCCATCCGTACTCCAGATTCACTAAAGGAAGACAGAATGACCTAGAGGTCTTTCAGAGGATTCCTTTATTCATTTTAAAAGGATTGATGGGAGTACCTGCTGTGTTCAAGGCACTGATTAGTTGCAGAGATAGAGCAGAGCATGAGCGAGAAGCCCCTGCCTCCCGGAGATTACACCGAGGTGGAAGACAGATGGGCAGCAAGAACAGGCCGCAGGATGAAGGATAACAGAGTGCCACAGAAGAAGATAAAGCAGGGGAAGGGAGTGGGAAGACGGACTGTCCCGAGATGCTCTGGAAGGCCTTCCTAAGGAGGTGCCCTTTGTGCCAGAACCTAGACACTGTGCGGAAGCAGGGACTCGGAGTACCGGGAAACAAGCCTGTGGGGCGGGGGACAGGGAGAGCGCAGGGGCGTCGGCCAGCATGGGCATGTCATCCCTGAGGAGCAGTAGACAGGCCAGCCGGGCTTAAGTGCAGTGGGCAAGGTGGCGACAGGCAGGAAATAGGTGGGAGTGGCAGCCAGGGGCCGGATCATACAAGCCGCGGCAGGAGTCCGGATCCTGTGGTTTTTATGTGAGCTCCTTGGGAGTTGCGAGCAGGCAGGGCACATGGTCTCATTTACACTTTTATTTATTTAGAGTTTTGTTTTTTTTTTTTTTTTTTAAAGATTTTATTTATTTATTTAATTGACAGAGAGAGAGAGAGACAGCGAGAGAGGGAACACAAGCAGGGGGAGGGTCAGAGGGAGAAGCAGGCTTCCCGCCGAGCAGGGAGCCCGATGCGGGGCTCGATCCCAGGACCCTGGGACCATGACCTGAGCTGAAGGCAGTCGCTTAACCAACTGAGCCACCCAGGCGCCCCTAAAGTTTTTTTTTTTTTAATTTGTCATTGGCGGAGCGGCAGGCAGAGGGAGAAGCGGGCTCCCGGCGGGGCTCGATCCCAGGACCCTGAGATCATGACCTGAGCTGAAGGCAGATGCTTAACCGACTGAGCCACCCAGGCAGGCACCCCTCATTTACACTCTTAAGAGTAATGCTCTGGTTGTTGTGTGGAGGAGAAACGGTGGGACAGGAGTGAGCCCAGGACACCAGCAAGGGCATGACTGCCTTGACCGTAAGACGGGATGGTGGCTCGGACGAGGTTGGCAGCGTCGGAAGTAGTGAATGTGACTGGGTTCAAGTTACATTTCGAAAGTCAGGATTTGCTGATGGATGGGGTGTGGGTGTGAGGAAGACGAGAATCTAGGATGACCCCAGTGCATGTGACTTGAGTTACGGGCCCTTTGACAAGGCCATTGACCACTGGAAGATGAAGGGGGTGGCGCTCAAGAGTTCTGTTTCAGACATGTTCATTTTTTGATGCTATCTTGGGTATCAAGAAGGCTGGTAAATTTCAAAGCTGAGAGCTTAAAAGTCAAGCCCAAAGATATAAATTTCGTGGTCACATACATACAGCACTTAAAGTCCTGGGACTGAAGAAGACCGCCGAGAGACAGAGAACGTTGAGAGGCTGGAAGGTTGAGCCCTGGGGTTCTTCAACACCTAGAGGTTTGAAGAAAGAATCTGATCCAGCAGAGCAAGTGAGAGAAGCCAGGAAAGGAGGAAGTTCAGGAGGGACTGTGGTTTCCTAGAAGGCATCGTGAAGGGTATCTTGAGGAGGAGGAGGAAGTAACCAATGCCATCAGGGGTTCCGATGAGGACTGAGCATCAACCACTGGACTGGGCAACGTGGACAGTGACCTTGATGAGAGCAGGGTTTCTGGCAATGATGATGACGATGTATTCAAAGTGCGTGGGAATCCTAACATCAGTGTGATGCTCCAGCAACCGCCTTGACACCAGGGCTTTCCATTTGGTAGAAATGATCCGGTTTCAGTTTTCATGACACACCATCCTCAGAAGGTTATCCCAAAGGAAGTCACCTTCATGGACTCCAGTTACAGGGCATATGGCAGTTAAGTGCTGTGCTTTCTATTGACAATCGGTATGAAAGCTTCCAACCGTTAATGAGTCTCTCCTACCTTGTAACACAAGCCCTGGGAAATTACCCAATGTTAGGCTAGTATTTTGTGATTAGGTGCATCTAAAAAAACGCAGAAAGGGATTGCAAAATGGACCTTATGCTTCTCAGGAGGATGTGTCCACAGAAAGGTTAGAAAATGGCGGATTAAGCAAGCTTTTTTACTGAAGGATTTCTTAGAGCTTTTCATTCTAATATGTATTTTGCATCTCCAAGAGGTGGTGCCCCCATTTCCCAAACTTATTCGACCTCGTGGGACTCCTGTTAAAGGAATATTTTTACCACAGTGGCTTAGGAGGATCCAGTGCTCATCAGAAGTGGTTCCTACCCAACTGCCTGAACACGGCCTACCCACCACCTAAAGGGACGCTTCACTGCTGCCCCCAAAGAACCCTCTGTGATTCCATCTTGCCATCCACACCTGAAGATAGGAGGCAGACCTCTGTGATGGAATGTGTGCCTCCATGGATATGGTATCAACTCAGCTCTGAAAGGGCCTCATTTCATTTACTTCATAAACTCAGGTCTCCAGTTTCTTATGCTGAAAACTACACGAGGAGACAATGTCTAGAGCAGAAATAAGCAAAACATGCTTCTCGCAAGGGCTAGAATGAGTCTGATTAATTTTTTTTTAAATTAAAAAGTGAGGGTGCCTGGGTGGCTCAGTCGTTAAGCGTCTGCCTTCAGCTCAGGTCATGATCCCAGGGTCCTGGGATCGAGCCCCGCATCGGGCTCCCTGCTC